CTAGGGGCTGCACTAGGGGCTGCACTAGGGGCTGCACTAGGGGCTGCACTAGGGGCTGCACTAGGGGCTGCACTAGGGGCTGCACTAGGGGCTGCACTAGGGGCTGCACTAGGGGCTGCACTAGGGGCTGCACTAGGGGCTGCACTAGGGGCTGCACTAGGGGCTGCACTAGGGGCTGCACTAGGGGCTGCACTAGGGGCTGCACTAGGGGCTGCACTAGGGGCTGCACTAGGGGCTGCACTAGGGGCTGCACTAGGGGCTGCACTAGGGGCTGCACTAGGGGCTGCACTAGGGGCTGCACTAGGGGCTGCACTAGGGGCTGCACTAGGGGCTGCACTAGGGGCTGCACTAGGGGCTGCACTAGGGGCTGCACTAGGGGCTGCACTAGGGGCTGCACTAGGGGCTGCACTAGGGGCTGCACTAGGGGCTGCACTAGGGGCTGCACTAGGGGCTGCACTAGGGGCTGCACTAGGGGCTGCACTAGGGGCTGCACTAGGGTGCACTAGGGGCTGCACTAGGGGCTGCACTAGGGGCTGCACTAGGGGCTGCACTAGGGGCTGCACTAGGGCTGCACTAGGGCTGCACTAGGGGCTGCACTAGGGGCTGCACTAGGGGCTGCACTAGGGGCTGCACTAGGGGCTGCACTAGGGGCTGCACTAGGGGCTGCACTAGGGGCTGCACTAGGGCTGCACTAGGGGCTGCACTAGGGGCTGCACTAGGGGCTGCACTAGGGGCTGCACTAGGGCTGCACTAGGGGCTGCACTAGGGGCTGCACTAGGGGCTGCACTAGGGGCTGCACTAGGGGCTGCACTAGGGGCTGCACTAGGGGCTGCACTAGGGGCTGCACTAGGGGCTGCACTAGGGGCTGCACTAGGGGCTGCACTAGGGGCTGCACTAGGGCTGCACTAGGGGCTGCACTAGGGCTGCACTAGGGCTGCACTAGGGGCTGCACTAGGGGCTGCACTAGGGGCTGCACTAGGGGCTGCACTAGGGGCTGCACTAGGGGCTGCACTAGGGGCTGCACTAGGGGCTGCACTAGGGCTGCACTAGGGGCTGCACTAGGGGCTGCACTAGGGGCTGCACTAGGGGCTGCACTAGGGCTGCACTAGGGCTGCACTAGGGGCTGCACTAGGGGCTGCACTAGGGGCTGCACTAGGGGCTGCACTAGGGTGCACTAGGGGCTGCACTAGGGGCTGCACTAGGGGCTGCACTAGGGGCTGCACTAGGGGCTGCACTAGGGGCTGCACTAGGGGCTGCACTAGGGGCTGCACTAGGGGCTGCACTAGGGGCTGCACTAGGGGCTGCACTAGGGCTGCACTAGGGGCTGCACTAGGGGCTGCACTAGGGGCTGCACTAGGGGCTGCACTAGGGGCTGCACTAGGGCTGCACTAGGGGCTGCACTAGGGGCTGCACTAGGGGCTGCACTAGGGGCTGCACTAGGGGCTGCACTAGGGGCTGCACTAGGGCTGCACTAGGGGCTGCACTAGGGGCTGCACTAGGGGCTGCACTAGGGGCTGCACTAGGGGCTGCACTAGGGGCTGCACTAGGGGCTGCACTAGGGGCTGCACTAGGGGCCACTAGGGGCTGCACTAGGGGCTGCACTAGGGGCTGCACTAGGGGCTGCACTAGGGGCTGCACTAGGGGCTGCACTAGGGGCTGCACTAGGGGCTGCACTAGGGGCTGCACTAGGGGCTGCACTAGGGGCTGCACTAGGGCTGCACTAGGGGCTGCACTAGGGGCTGCACTAGGGGCTGCACTAGGGGCTGCACTAGGGGCTGCACTAGGGGCTGCACTAGGGGCTGCACTAGGGGCTGCACTAGGGGCTGCACTAGGGCTGCACTAGGGGCTGCACTAGGGGCTGCACTAGGGGCTGCACTAGGGGCTGCACTAGGGGCTGCACTAGGGGCTGCACTAGGGGCTGCACTAGGGGCTGCACTAGGGGCTGCACTAGGGCTGCACTAGGGGCTGCACTAGGGGCTGCACTAGGGCTGCACTAGGGGCTGCACTAGGGGCTGCACTAGGGGCTGCACTAGGGGCTGCACTAGGGCTGCACTAGGGGCTGCACTAGGGGCTGCACTAGGGGCTGCACTAGGGGCTGCACTAGGGCTGCACTAGGGGCTGCACTAGGGGCTGCACTAGGGGCTGCACTAGGGGCTGCACTAGGGGCTGCACTAGGGGCTGCACTAGGGGCTGCACTAGGGGCTGCACTAGGGGCTGCACTAGGGGCTGCACTAGGGCTGCACTAGGGGCTGCACTAGGGGCTGCACTAGGGGCTGCACTAGGGCTGCACTAGGGGCTGCACTAGGGGCTGCACTAGGGGCTGCACTAGGGGCTGCACTAGGGGCTGCACTAGGGGCACTAGGGCTGCACTAGGGGCTGCACTAGGGGCTGCACTAGGGGCTGCACTAGGGGCTGCACTAGGGGCTGCACTAGGGGCTGCACTAGGGGCTGCACTAGGGGCTGCACTAGGGGCTGCACTAGGGGCTGCACTAGGGGCTGCACTAGGGGCTGCACTAGGGCTGCACTAGGGGCTGCACTAGGGGCTGCACTAGGGGCTGCACTAGGGGCTGCACTAGGGGCTGCACTAGGGGCTGCACTAGGGGCTGCACTAGGGGCTGCACTAGGGGCTGCACTAGGGGCTGCACTAGGGGCTGCACTAGGGGCTGCACTAGGGGCTGCACTAGGGGCTGCACTAGGGCTGCACTAGGGGCTGCACTAGGGGCTGCACTAGGGGCTGCACTAGGGGCTGCACTAGGGGCTGCACTAGGGGCTGCACTAGGGCTGCACTAGGGGCTGCACTAGGGGCTGCACTAGGGGCTGCACTAGGGGCTGCACTAGGGGCTGCACTAGGGGCTGCACTAGGGGCTGCACTAGGGCTGCACTAGGGGCTGCACTAGGGGCTGCACTAGGGGCTGCACTAGGGGCTGCACTAGGGGCTGCACTAGGGGCTGCACTAGGGGCTGCACTAGGGGCTGCACTAGGGGCTGCACTAGGGGCTGCACTAGGGGCTGCACTAGGGGCTGCACTAGGGGCTGCACTAGGGGCTGCACTAGGGCTGCACTAGGGGCTGCACTAGGGGCTGCACTAGGGGCTGCACTAGGGGCTGCACTAGGGGCTGCACTAGGGGCTGCACTAGGGGCTGCACTAGGGGCTGCACTAGGGGCTGCACTAGGGGCTGCACTAGGGCTGCACTAGGGGCTGCACTAGGGGCTGCACTAGGGGCTGCACTAGGGCTGCACTAGGGGCTGCACTAGGGGCTGCACTAGGGGCTGCACTAGGGGCTGCACTAGGGGCTGCACTAGGGGCTGCACTAGGGGCTGCACTAGGGGCTGCACTAGGGCTGCACTAGGGGCTGCACTAGGGGCTGCACTAGGGGCTGCACTAGGGCACTAGGGGCTGCACTAGGGGCTGCACTAGGGGCTGCACTAGGGGCTGCACTAGGGCTGCACTAGGGGCTGCACTAGGGGCTGCACTAGGGGCTGCACTAGGGGCTGCACTAGGGGCTGCACTAGGGGCTGCACTAGGGGCTGCACTAGGGGCTGCACTAGGGGCTGCACTAGGGGCTGCACTAGGGGCTGCACTAGGGGCTGCACTAGGGGCTGCACTAGGGGCTGCACTAGGGGCTGCACTAGGGGCTGCACTAGGGGCTGCACTAGGGGCTGCACTAGGGGCTGCACTAGGGGCTGCACTAGGGGCTGCACTAGGGGCTGCACTAGGGGCTTGCACTAGGGGCTGCACTAGGGGCTGCACTAGGGGCTGCACTAGGGGCTGCACTAGGGGCTGCACTAGGGGCTGCACTAGGGGCTTGCACTAGGGGCTGCACTAGGGGCTGCACTAGGGGCTGCACTAGGGGCTGCACTAGGGGCTGCACTAGGGGCTGCACTAGGGGCTGCACTAGGGGCTGCACTAGGGGCTGCACTAGGGGCTGCACTAGGGCTGCACTAGGGGCTGCACTAGGGGCTGCACTAGGGGCTGCACTAGGGGCTGCACTAGGGGCTGCACTAGGGGCTTGCACTAGGGGTGCACTAGGGCTGCACTAGGGGTGCACTAGGGGCTGCACTAGGGGCTGCACTAGGGGCTGCACTAGGGCTGCACTAGGGTTGCACTAGGGGCTGCACTAGGGCTGCACTAGGGGCTGCACTAGGGGCTGCACTAGGGGCTGCACTAGGGGCTGCACTAGGGGCTGCACTAGGGCTGCACTAGGGGTTGCACTAGGGGCTGCACTAGGGGCTGCACTAGGGGCTGCACTAGGGGCTGCACTAGGGGCTGCACTAGGGTGCACTAGGGGCCTGCACTAGGGGCTGCACTAGGGTTGCACTAGGGGCTGCACTAGGGGCTGCACTAGGGGCTGCACTAGGGGCTGCACTAGGGGCTTGCACTAGGGGCTGCACTAGGGGCTGCACTAGGGGCTGCACTAGGGGCTGCACTAGGGCTGCACTAGGGGTTGCACTAGGGGTTGCACTAGGGGCTGCACTAGGGGCTGCACTAGGGGCTGCACTAGGGGCTGCACTAGGGGCTGCACTAGGGTGCACTAGGGTTGCACTAGGGGCTGCACTAGGGGCTGCACTAGGGGCTTGCACTAGGGGCTGCACTAGGGGCTGCACTAGGGGCTGCACTAGGGGCTGCACTAGGGTGCACTAGGGGCTGCACTAGGGGTGCACTAGGGGCTGCACTAGGGCTGCACTAGGGGCACTAGGGGCTGCACTAGGGTGCACTGGGCTGCACTAGGGTTCACTAGGGGCTGCACTAGGGGCTGCACTAGGGTGCACTAGGGGCTTAGCTGCACTAGGGGTTGCACTAGGGTTGCACTAGGGGTTTGCATAGGGGTTGCAAAGACAAACGAGTGAAACTGAGGTGATTTTTGAGTCGACTCAAAAAAGCATTAGGGGTTGCAAAGGTAAACAAACGAGTGAAACCGAGACAGGGGATGCAAAGGTAAAGTGGAAAACAAATGAGAAATGCTTCTCCAAGGAATTCTCAAACATGGGCGCTACACTCACTCCGCCCTCCCCTGTGCAGAAAACAGCATCTTCCCCAGCCGCACCAGCAGCTTCACCCGCTCCACCCCCTCATGCGCGCGCCCTCCGCCTCCCCCCCGCGGGCCTCCGCGGACCATCAGCGCGCGGCGCTCGAGCTTCTCACGAACCGTATCGAGCGCTTCGCTCAGGGGATACCGCACCACGTCGAACAACTCAGGCTCGCGCGGCCGGATCGCGCCGCCTCGTTCCGCAAATCCTCCACCGCCGTCCTCGCTACCGCCTTCTTCGTTATAAGGATCTTCAATTTCGGGGTCATACTCCTCCCACTCCTCCTCGCTGCTATAACGCCGCGAGCTGAGCCCGCCGCCCGGGATCGGCGCCCTGGCGAGCACGGCGAGGCGCCTGTTGCGGAGATGCAGGTAGCTCTGGCTGGCGAACGGTTTGAACTCGAGCGACACGCGGTGGTCGCGCGTCAATCCGACGGTTCCCGCCTTGCGGTCCTCGTAGTCGTCGATTAAGGTGAGGATCTTCGCGCCGCGCGCGTGCTGGATGCCCCCGCCGGCTGGTGACGATCGCTGCCGTTGAGCTCCCCACTGCGCCATGATCAATGGCGGATAGCGAACCTCAGCTTGGAAGGAGTACTCCGTGGAAGTGGCTATTTCGAGACTCAAGGTCACTCGAAACAAGCATCGAGTTCACGTGGGACCAGCAGCTGACGACATGTTTTAATACGTCGAGAACCGTTGCGGTTCCAATCCAGACTGGCTCGGGGCTTGGAGTCGCGTGTCTTCGCGTCGGCCCAAAAGACGGGCCGCGGAGAATCGATTCGCATCGCATGCGCGCTGCGGAGCCTGGCTCGTGTTCTTTCGCGGCGCAGGAATGTCCTTAGTGCCGGGCGGTTCGTCGTTCCTGCCATGCGTACGTACAGCCTAGTCGCGTGCGCATGGGAGGAAGGATTGGACTGCTAGAAGTAGGACGAGAACATAGAGAAGGCGAGTGGAAGGCGTGGGTTTTAGTTTGACCGTTTATCCGGGAAAATTACTGCCGCAGACTGTCCGCAAATCTTTTCATACTTTCGTGGACAACCCCTACTTTCATGGACACCACATCAACATTTCGCTTCTCCCGTGGACTCCGTCCCTACTTTCATGGACATCCGCCTTACTTCCATGGACAAGGTCAAAATCGCAGGAAATAGGCGAAAACTCAACTGTACAAAACATGACGGGCGCTGAAAAAAAAACAGCAGCTCAGCATGCGTCGCAAAGAGTCGCGCACTACAGTGCCCCAAACCTAATCCGAAACAGAGTCTCCCCGAAATTGGGAACATGACTTTCACGCCAGGTTTTCGTTTGGTGCGTTTGGCACAAAAAGTCCTGTGATGTGTGATTCGGCAGGCAGTACCCACGCGTTTCTACGTAACTGTACTTCAGAAGGAAAAATCGGTACGCTCTGTAAATTTGTCTACCAGTTCAGACTAGTGCTGCTGTTGTTGTTTACATCATATCGCAAAAGGAAAGGTTTTCGTTCTCATGATAAATGTTTTTGGAAAATTTCCCTGCATAACTTCCTAAATATATTATGTTTTTTAACAAGGAAAGGCTCTAAATAAAAATGCTTCTTTGAAATATGATTCTGATTCTGTTTTGGATTAGGTTTGGGGCACTGTAGTGCGCGACTCTTTGCGACGCACGCTAAGCCGCTGTTTTTTTTTTTCAGCGCCCGTCATTTTTTGTACAGTTGAGTTTTCGCCTATTTCCTGCGATTTCGACCTTGTCCATGGAAGTAAGGCGGATGTCCATGAAAGTAGGGACGGAGTCCACGGGAGAAGCGAAAGGTTGATGTGGTGTCCATGAAAGTAGGGGCTGTCCACGAAAGTATGAAAAGATTTGCGGACAGTCCGCGGCAGTAATTTTCCCCGTTTATCCGCTCAATGAGGTGATGCGTTACTCAGCATGTACACCAGTTTCACGTCGATTCGTGCTACCAGCTTATTGTGAATTATGATTGCTTCATTCTTCATTGATTCCTACAATAAATCGATGTACTTCCCATGTGACTCTGAAGACTCTTAGAAATTGAGCACATCTGCCAATAACGTTACAGCATGTGGCCAAACATGCATTCTAATAACTGCCCATGAAAATGCATATGAGCGTGCCTGTCAACAGGTGTACAAAATTATACAAGACCCTCTGCCTACAACAGGTGTTGCTACAGCCAGTCTATCAAGGGCAAGGCTTCCAGCAGGAATGCTCACTGGAAATCACCACCAGACCCCCGTTCTCCACTAAAACTCGACAACAGTTGTTGCTTCAGCCAGGTAGGGGAGTCCGGTTCTACGACAGACACAGCTGCAGCCAGTGTATGAGGGTGGGGCATTCAGGAAGAATGCTCCCTGGTGTCCACTTGGGTGCTGCCAGCAAGATGCCGCCGAGTAGGGGGGTGCTGCTGACTCGTTGACAGGGAAGGAGAAACGCTAGCGTTGTTGTTTGCCTCCATAGTAGCCTGCACCGGTAGCAGCAGGAGCAACCGGCCTTGATCTCTCTTCTTCCTCTACGGCAGGTGCTGCTGCAACCAGTCGATAAGGGCAGGGCATTCAGCCAGAATGCTCTCTGGAGTCCATTGTGGTGCTGCCTGCTGCAAGCTCGAGTCAAAGCACGATGCGGCCAAGTAGGAGGTGGGTGTGGGCTCGCTGGATAGGGGAGAGGGAGAAGCGGCAGCGTCGTTGTGTGCATCTTTCGTGGCCTGCAGCAGCAGATGCAGCAGGAATGAGAAAGAGGGCGAATGAAATGAGAGAGATAGTTGGAAAACATCTTGTATATCAAACTCGGACTACACAACAACCCCAAGAGCCGTGTAACATGTTACACCCGTGTACTGGGCTGCAATCATCATACCTCCTTACCACCTGCAACAATTTTCTCCTCCGAACTTCTCATGCCACCAGCATACCTCCATCGGCTCTCTTCATACGAATGCGGGGTAAACTCGACCTCATTCGTGAGGCAACCTCCCCCATGGTCATACTCTTAACCCATTGACTCGCGGCAGCTTCCACAGCTGCCCGTTCCTGACTGCACCCTCAAGAGCCCACACACACACTATGGCGAAATAAAGCAACTCACCTTCATCTGCTGTCGCCAGGGCAGCAGGGTAAACTCGACTTCGTTAGTGAGGCGCCCCCCTCCATGGTCAAACTCCACCCCGTTGACTCGCGACAGCTTCCACAGCTGCCCGCCTGACTGCACACGCAGCCGCCTCTGGTGCCGCACACTCCGCACTCTGAAGCGGTGCGATGGCGATGCGGGTGAGTGCGCTGGTGCATGTGACGATGAGTGCGCTGATGGGGAGTGTGCTGGTGAGGGCGCGTCCTTCATGCCGACATCGAAGTCGACGGTGATTGGCCAGTGCAGCCCGCCCTTTGAGCTGTCTTCAATGATCGCCGAGGATGCTATGCGCTCACAGGCTGACTGGGTGGCCTCCTGAATGGAGGGTGGGGGACGTGAGGAGAAAGAGATGGCAGGTAAGTGAGAAGGAGCAGGTGGGTCATGGGCCAGTGCAGCCCGCCCTTTGAGCTGTCCTCAATGATTGCTGAGGATGCCATGCGCTCACAGGCAGACCGAATGGCGTCCTGGATAACGGGATTGAGAGGGGAAAGAGGCAGGGATCAGGAGACAATTCAGTCGACGGTGATGGGCCAGTGCAGACCGCCCTTGGAGCTGTCCTCGATGGTAGCTGAGGATGCTGTGCGTTCACACGCACACCGGATGGCGTCCTGGGTGTGAAACGACAGAGAACGAGGGATAGTGATAGGGAAAGAATATATGGAGTGGCAGGAGCAAGAGGGAGAGGAAAGCAAGAAGGTGCGGTTCTCACATCTCTGTCTGTGTGCCCCATGGGTCAGAGGACTCATGACTGACATCGAGGGAGCAGAGGCGGGTGTCGGTGGCGAGCATGAGGCGGAAGTCAATGGCCTTGGCGGGGCGAGAGACGTCAACCACTGCATAGCGCAGGGGGTTGTGCTTCACCTGGAGGATCGCGGAGATACAACGGAATGAGATTGGATGGGGTGGGTGGGGTGGGGTGGGGTAGGGTGGGGTGGAGTGGGGTGGGATGGGAGAAGGATAGCGTGGGAGAGGAATGGGAAGAGAGGGCAGAAAGAGGACCACCGCTGCAATCACTGCATAGCGCAGAGGGTTGTGGCTCACTGAGAGGGTAGCAGATTTGGAATGGGATGAAACGGAGAGTTTAGCACAAAACGTGAGAAGGAAACACACACTCAAAAGGTAACAGGCAGCAACAACCACACCAAAGGGCAGCTCTGCTTTTGAGAATTCTAAAACAAAAAAAAACACTAAAACAGAACAAGCAGCAACAAGTACACCAAAGGGCAGCTGAACTGGAGTAACTGAGGAACACAATGACAATGAATCACACCTTAACGAGGATAACCCCTGAGCCATCAGGGTCGGGCTTGCATATCAACTTGTACTCTGTGTCCATCTGGTCTGTGTCTACTACCTGTAACGGATCAACGATATGGGGGACAACGGGGTACAGGAGAGAAGCGTCAATAGACATCGACACAAAGAGCTTTGTCCATGAGAGGCAAAGAATGCCAAAGTTCCGCCACCTTCCCCAGTGGGGAAGAGCTTTGTGAGGCCAACAATCTGAGAAAGCACCATTTCCATGCCATGACTTCACGTGGGCAGCGACTTAAAAAATTGTCAGAATAGAAGTATAGGGCGCTGGTTTGTAGAAGGGGGGGTCGCAAAAGACATCAAGCCAAAGAGCTTAGTGAGGCAAACAGCTTGACAAGCTACTTCCTTTGCAAATTCGTTTATGGCACGTCTCTGTGGTGTGCATGCCCAATCATCCCCTACCCACTATGCCATCCAGCGTCATCATCCCCTCCCCACTATACCAGCCATTGCCTGTCTCTACCTCCATTTCCCAATACAAACAATTTTTCTTGACATGCGCCACTTACCCTTATTTAATGGTCTCTTTCGTGACCACGCTCACTCACCCCCTCCCCCTCCACGCCTTGTGAGAGAGGCTCGCGCATGCCTGTCTCTAAATGCATACCCTTTCTAGAGTGACTCGGTAACATACCAGGCACATGTCAGTCACATACCCGTATGTGGTACGTCTCCTTCGTTTGAACGCTCCCGCCCTCTCCCCCCATCACAATGCCCTCAACTGCCTGAAATAGAGGCTCAGGCATGCCCGTTTCCAGCGACCGGTGCACCCTCACTGGCAGCCGCTGCGCCTGCCTGTTCAAGTTCGACTCGAATGCGCCCGCTGTGAAGGGCGGTAGGCCAGGGAGGAGAGACCTGGGGCAGAGGTGCAGACAGCAGGAGGGGACAGAGAGGGGACAGAGAGGGACAGAGAGGGGACAGAGAGGGGAACATGTGGAAGGTAGGGGGATATGAGTAACAGCAGCTCGGGCATGCCCGTTTCCAGCGACCGCTGCTCCCTAACTGGCGGCCTCTGCGCCTGCCTGTTCAGGTTTGACTCGAATGCGCCCGCTGTGAAGGGCGGTAGGCCCGGGAGGAGAGACCTGGGGTGCAGGGGGAAACAGAGGAGAGCACGGTCGACAGACGCATGCCTGTGTCTAATGACAGGTGCACTCTTACTGACAGACACGGAGCCTGTTCGATTATGATACAGTGCGTACAAGTTTGCTCTAGACTACTAAAGAGGCGCCTCATAAGTCGGAGCCTGTTCGAATATGATACAGAGCGTACAAGTCTCCTCTAGTACTCACTCTGGGGAGCCGAAAGGAGGTCCGAACAGCAGCTTCCCTAGGCGCACCACGAGCTTGCACCGGTCCAAGGACGACTTTCTTAACTGCGACTGGGCGGCAAACTCCATCTCCTTGTGCGCCGCCTCTAGCCCCTTCAGCAGCGGGCCGGCTACCGCGTCGAACAGGGAGGCCGGGGTGGTGATGGGGAGAGGAAAGGCGGCGGAGGCGGAGGCATCTGAAGCAGGATGTATGGTAGCAGGGGTTGCAGGGATTGCAGTGGGTGCAGCAGAGGTTGCAAAGGAGGGAGAATCTGCAGGTGGTGGAGTGTACTCGATTTCAGGGGATTCGATATGGTCAACGTCGGAATCTGGAGCCCTCTTTAGAAGGGACAGGTTCTGACCCTGTAGGTGCAGGTAGCTCCGCCCTTTAAACGGTTGGAATCTGAGCCGCATGCGATTGCAGCGAGATTTCCCTCCGTTACAAGCACAGCTGCTGCTGCATGGGGTTCCAGTAACGGATGATTCTCGCTCAGCATAATCGTCGATTACTGTAGCAAGCACAACATCGCGAGAATTCTTTATCGATATCTTATTTGCCGCATGATTCTTGCCTCGGCCACCCGCCTGACCACGGCCTCTGCCTCGGCCTCTCCCGAACCTGCTTTCCGAGCCTGGTGCCGAGCCTGCATGGCCTGCTGCCGTCCCGGAAGGAGGTTCGGAGCCGGAGCTGCTTGCACCGGCTCGCTTATGAGGAGGAACGTACGGCATGACGTGGGAGGATTATTCTCACTTGAAATCCTAGGAATAGGTGATTTTTTGATTTCAAGCGATAGGTACTTCTCCACAGATGGCTGGTGAATGAGATCTCGGAAGATGCAGAACGGCTAGGATAGGAAAGATGACGACCAAGTGCACGAGGAATCGCGAGACGGAAGTCATGGGAGGAAAGATGACAAGTGGCCTCAGCGGAAAGTGAGGACGTGGTACAAGTTTGGAAAGTCGAGGTTCGAGGCCCAAAAATCGACTCGACACCGCATTAAACCGAAGTTATAAGCTCTCCATTCTTTTCAGCCGCGCCCAACCCTGCTAACTTGGCCTAGGCTCGATCTTGAGTCCTGATCGATCTCATACTTGTACCACATCCTGAGGTTGCGCTGGATGTACGGACGCTTGGGATGTGGGTGTGTCTCTAGAAACACCACGGAAAAGCAATGCAAGTCAATCGCCTCGCATGAGGTCCTTGGCCGCCTAGGCCTTGCCTTGACAGAGAGATGCTCAACACATATATGATTAGGGATAGGTACAGTATTAGGGTAATTTGCTGCTAGATGGGCAACATCGGGCGGCTGATCTGTACGAACAAGATTTGCTCCAGTATGTGCTTCTCCATAAACCGAGGCGGATTATATCTAAGCATGTGCCATCAAGCTTCGTTGTGGCGATAATTTATGCTAGTCATTTCTACGTACGTTTTCGAGCTTAAACCGTACCAAACCGTTTGGCGTTGTTATTTGATCCTTACAAATAAGTATCTCACCCAACTGCAATCAAACATACTCTTGGGACGTTCACGGGTCATCACAGATTATCCACGCATGCATCAACCTTTCCAGCGTGTCCCTAATACCTAGGGTAATTGTTTAATTATATATTATATATAATTGTAGGCTTGGTAGGTATTGCTAGATCCTACTGTAGAGGGTACAACTTAGAGGACGGAAAGAACTGCAGGTCAGCAAGGGTAGCACGTAGCGTGTCGTGCCACTCACGAGGTTCCTGTCGCAGGCCGTAGACGGGGCGCCGCAGGAGCCACTTGGTCCAAGGAGGGAAGGTACCAGTGAAACCCTGAGGGTGGCGTAGGTAAACCTGCTCGTGTAGACTGCCCTGAAGAAACGCAGTAGAGAAGTCGAAGGAGTGAAGCTCGTAGTCACGCTGAGCTGCTACGTGTAGCAACGTTCGAAGAGTAGTCATCTTCGGGGTCGGAGCAAAGGTATGAAAGAAGTCCACCCCCTCTCGCTGACTGAAGCCTCTAGCCATGTAGCGCGCCTTGAACACAGGCGGCTCTCAAGGAGGGCGCTTCACATTGAAGAGCCACTAGCCATCGACTACGTTCACCCCAGGTGGGGGAACTGCGTCGACGTAGGTGCCGGTAGCCCTCCAAGAAGCCATCTCCTGCTCCATGGCAGCTATCCACTGAGAGGCCCACGGTCCCGAGGTCGCCTCAGCGTAGGTGCGAGGGGTCGGGATGTCAAAGGTGTCGGGATCACCCTCAGGGACTAGCAGTATGGAAAAGAGATGAGGAGCAGCCTCTGACAGGAAAACAAGCTCGTATTGCCGGTCCTCCAAGACGTCACTGCTGAGGGCAGGAGCACCCCCGACGGACGGAGGACAGACAGGGTCAGAGACCAGAGCAGTAGCGAAGTCAAGGCGGCGAGTAGAGGCAAAGTCAGCGACAGCAGCGACAAGAGTGTCAAGACTGGAGACAGGAACAGACGGGTCGGTAACGAGGGAGGCAAGGACCCGAGGAACAAGAGGACGAGCAGCACGAAGATATTCAGACAGAGGGAGAGGCGCGACAGTGAGCAACGGTGGAGGAGGCGAAGGCAAACGGGGAGGACGAGACGCGTGGGAACGAAGCAACATAGGGTGAGAACGCTGAACAGGAGAGACATGACGCGCACGAGAGGGACGGCGAGACCAGACGTGAGACGGAGGCGTCGGGTCAGGAGACAGAGGAGGAGTAACAGGAGGGAAACGAGACGGGAAACGAGCCGAGGACGAGTCCGGCGGTAGAAATACAGGACCGTGAACACGAAGAGGGGGAGACGGCGAGGGAGGCGCAGGCGAGCGGTCAGGGGAGAGAAGGCCGAGCAGGCGAAGGGCTGACACCGGCAGCGACTGCTGTTACTGCTGCTCAACGCCGACACCTGGACCACCAGCTGCACCAGTGCTACCTCCGGTGCACTCCACGCCAGCACTCCCAGAATGAGAAATGTCTCTAGCACCGGTGCCACCCCCGAGCCCACCGGGACAAGCCACGGCAGGAGCCCCAGGACTAGCACCCTCTCCAACTCAAGCACCCCCAGAGTCCACGAACGACTGCGGCTGCGACGACGGCTGCGGCTGCGGCGGTGGTGACGGCGGCGGCTGCGGCGGCGATTGCGACGAGACCAGACGTGAGACGGAGGCGTCGGGTCAGGAGACAAAGGAGGAGTAACAAGAGGGGAACGAGAGGGGAAACGAGCCAGGGACGAGTCCGGCGGTGGAAACACAGGGCCGTTAACAGGAAGAGGGGGAGACGGCGAGGGAGGCGCAGGTGAGCGGTCAGGGGAGGGAAGGCCGAGCAGGCAAAGGGCGGACACCGGCGGTGACTGCTGCTGCTCAATACTGACACCTGGACCACCAGCTGCACTACTGCTACCTCCGGTACACTCCATGCCAGTACCCTCAGAACGAGAATCGTCTCCAGCGACGTTGCCACCCCGAGCCCGCCGGGACAAGCCACGACACGAGCCCCAGGACTAGCACCCTCTCCAACTCCACGGCTGCGGTTGCGGCGGCGACAACGACGAGGGAGGAGGAAACACCGGAGGAGGGACAGGTGGCGCAAACTGCGCCGCAGGGCCACCGAAGTCAGTCGACTCCTCAACTGGGACAACCGATGGGAGGAGAGTGACGTGAGACACATCGGACGAAGCAGGATGGGGAGGGAGGGGAGCAGGGGCGACCGGGGGAGTGGGAACCAAAAACAGGGGCGGGGAAACCGGGAGACCTCGGTGAGGAAAGCGGGGGAAAATGAAGACAAACTTGTCGAAAGTGACGTCACGGGAGTGAAGGAAGCGATGAGACGACGGGTGGTAGAAGTGCCAGTCCGACGAGTCAAGGGGGAAACCGAGGAAGACACAAGGGACGGTGCGGACAGTGAGCTTGTCCATGCCGCAGGCACGAACGTGAGCGAGGCAGCCCCAGACGTGGAACGCAGACGCGTCACCAGGGATCCCGGTCCAAAGAAGGGTGGGCAAAACCTGCGGCCGCTGAGAGCGAGGCCAGAGGTTAAGCTGGACTACACACAGGTGCCACGCCTAAGCTAGAGAACACAGAGTAATACGGTCCGGAAACACTCGAGGCGTCAGCATAAAGAGAATGCAAGGCAGAACTAATATGATCCATGTCTAAGTCAAACACAGGCACACCGTGGCGCAACAGGAAGGGCCAGTCAGGGAGGTCCCGGGCGGGACCAAAGCGGCAACGGAAGAGGTCATCGATGCGGCGGAAGCAGCGGGCAGTGGGGTGCAAGCGGCGGCACACCGTGCCACGCAGGGGCCTGGTCTGAAGCTGGTACTGGCAGCTCACAGCACCAAAGCTGCCAGTGGATGCCGAGCTGCGAGGGCCACCACCACGACCACCGCTGCTAGGGGCTCCTGGCCACCCGGGCGGGAAACGAGCCCACGGCTGCTGCTGCTGCTACTGCTGCTGGGACGGCTGCTGTTGCTGCGGCGGCTGCAAGTGCGGCAATTGCTGCTTCTCCTGGGCACCAGCACCAACTCCCTCGTCAAAACCACTATCCCCGCCACCACCACCACTAGCGCCACCTCCACGTCCTCCCTTGGGGCCATGGCGGCCCCGGCGCTGGCGCTGCTGCGGGTAAGCCGCAGCTGCTGTCTTAGGTGCAGGTGCAGTCGTGGCAACCGCGGGGGAGATGTCAGCGTACGTGCACTGGGAGGGGGCACAGCCCTGAAAGATAGGGACTGCCGCAATGCCGCTCGACTGAGCGATAGTGCGCTGGCGAGTCTCTATCTCAGACAGAGTAGTGACAAAGGCGGTCACGGTGAGGTCGGCAGGGTGCTGACTAAGGAAGTGGTCGTGGGCAGTGGCTAAGCGGTCAGGCAGGCGCATAGCGATGAGGTACAGGGTAGCGTAGAAAGGTGGGGGGAAGGCAGTAAGCTGAGCGGCAGAGCTAGCAGCGCGGTAGCTGGTCTCTAGTGCACGGAGTTGAGTAGCGAGGTCCGCTACCATGGGGAAAGCAAAAAGATCAAGGAAGAGCATGGGTAGGATCAAGCGGCCAGCAGAGGCGGAAGCAGGTGTGGAGTAAAGCTCAACTACTGCAACAAGAAAGTCCTTGGCGTTCGCGACAGCGGTAAAGCGCGGACGCTTAGACAGGGGGAGGGCATGGCTAATGGCAAGCTGGGCTACTGCGTCGCGAGAATCCCAGACAGCTCGAGCAAGCGCAGCAGCAGCAAAAGCCTCGCTCTCAGCATTGGTAGGATTAGCATGGAGGGGATGAGGCGCAGGGGGGCGGGGAAGCAAACCATCAACATGCATAGCCAGGTAGTGCCCATCTTGGCGCTGACCTGTCAGGTGCCGGCGGAGGTCGAAGAGCCTAGCGGCGAAGTCGATCGCGTGCCCCTCAGCGTCCAAGCGAAGAACGGCGTCCGCCATCGCACAGTTTGACAGCGGCACAGTGGCTCAGCGGCGCAGCGACTCGGCGGCTCGGCGGCACGGCGGTTCGGCGGCTCGACGGCGCGGGTGCTCGACGGCTCGGAGACACGGCCGCTCGGCGGCTCAGGCGACGAGGCCGGCTAGGGGCAAGAGGCCGGCTAGGGCGAGCGGGGCCGGCATGGGCTCATGGGGCCGGCTAGGGACGCGGGGGGGGGGGGGCGTTAGTAGCACGATGGGCCGTAGGGGCGCGAGGGGCCGGCTAGGGGCGCGAGGGCCCGGTAGGGGCGCGACGGGGCCGGTTGGGGGGCGCGAGGGGCCGATAGAGGTGCGACGTGGCCAGCTAGGGGCGCGAGGGGCCATAGTGGCGCGCGGGGCCGGCTAGGGGCGCGATAGGGCCGTAGGAGCGCGAGGGGGCCGGAAGGGGCGCGAAGGGCCGGCTAGGGGCGCGACGGGGTCATAGGGGCGTGACGGGGCCTGCTAGGGACGCGACGGGGCCTTAGGGGCGCGACGGGGCCTGCTAGGGGCGTGACGGGGCCGTAGGGGCGCGACGGGGCCGTAAGGGCGCGACGGGGCTTGCTAGGGGCGCGACAGGGCCGTAGGGGCGCGCGGGGCCAGATAGGGGCGCGAGGGTCCGGTAGGT